ACACCGCGGTTCCAGGTGGCCTCGGGGCGTGGCAGATGTGGAGAAGGGTGTTCGCCGAAAAGGAGTCCCTCGCAGATCTGAGACCCCCGTTCGCCTCATCCTCGCGCAGGGACCCTCGGGGGCCCGCGGTAGCCGTCAGCCCGCCGAGCTGGAAGCGCCTCACACTCTTCTCTAACGTAAGCCCGAGGCTGCTTATCCAGCCCGCTGGTAAGGTCTGCTTTCCGACAGCGGTCCAGCTCTGCAGACTGCGACTTCGCCTTAGAAGCGGCAGTGGCGTAGGAAGAGCTTGCAAGAGCCGCTTGGACTGAATCGCCAGGTCCGAGCTTTTGAAGCTCCTCAGAAGTTTACTTGAATTGCAGCCCGAGCTGTATCTTTCCCGGTGCTTCCTTGGAGAGTGTTTTCCTCTCCGTGCGCGCCCCGTCATCCTATCAGCTGAAACTCCCTTGTCCGGGTCCGCAGAGCCCACGGTGCGTGGAGCGAGCCCACTGCGGGGCAGCAGGCAAAGCCGCGCACAGCCCCTCTTCGACCCGAATTCGACGTCTCGCCGGGACAGTCGGAACCTGAGGCCTTGGCTCTGTGTCTGCTCTGCATCTGCCTTCTTGGGCACCTGCTGTTAGGTTTGGTGCCCTCCTCTGTGCTCCGCAACACCCTGTACGTTTCCGCCTCAGGCAGAGAACTCACATTTTAAATTTACCTGTTTATTGATCTGTCTCCCCCACTAGGCTGGGAACTCCTTAGGTCAGGGCCATCCTGTTGTTCCTGTGTCAGCACGGTCCTTGGCACCTAGAAGCTCAGCTGTGAAATGAGGGAGTTCCTTTAGTCATCTGGCAGGGAAGCTTCCCAATCATGTGAACGGTCCCCTGGGCCTCTGGAAACCTTTGGGGAACAGGTCAGACAGGAAGACTCCGGATTAAGGAGGAAGCATTGGAAACCAGCGGGTAACACTTTCTTAATTTGAGCTTTTATGCACTGAGGTCACTCAGGCTAGATTTTGAGCCAAATAACTGCAAATCACTGCGTTTTGCATCTATCATCCTTTCTCCCCTCCTCTAACCCACACTTATGCAGATGTAACTGACTCTGGGAGTTCTGGGTCTGTTAAATTATTCATATTCAATTAAGGATTTTCATCTTTAGCAGCTTTCTCATCGCTGTTCCATGCAGAATCCATATGGGATCTGATCGGGATATTGATCTTGGGTGGTAGACTTTTAATGATCATAGAGGCCTAAACATGAGTTTTCATTTTTCAGAGGAAGGAATTCACGCTCAGCCTCATCCTTGACATTCATTTTGCAATAGGTGATTTTTTAACTTTTTTTTATTAAGTTAGAGTCAATTTACAATGTTGTGTCAGTTTCCAGTGTAGAGCACAATTTTTCAGTTATACATGAACATACATATATTCATTGCCACATTTTTTTTCGTTGTGAGCTACCACAAGATCTTGTATATATTTCCCTGTGCTACACAGTATAATCTTGTTTATCTCTTCTACATTTTGAAATCTCAGTTATAGGTGATTTCTAAATTTTAATTTAAATGTTCAAATAAGTGTTGCCTTTTCTTGGGAGGCTGCATGCCTGTTTAACAATGCTGTCTTCACTTCTCCAGACATTTTTTGACATATTTTGGGCCATAAGAAAAGCAGGTTTGCTTCTTTATAGTAATACATCAGGTACCGCAGAATTCTGAAGGCAAGGTGAGCGGGCATGCCAAAGGCAGCATTGCAGCCCCCACTGCCCCTCCAAATTTCTTAAATTCACAATTAGTGTTCTTTCAACATGAGCAGACTAAAGTATCTCAGTTTTCTGAACCAAAAGGAACATGATTTATTGACCTTATTTAACCAGGGGAAACACATGGTATCATTTAACACTAACTCCAGATTTGGATCCAGTTTGGAAAGTGAGCAATGCCTCCGACTCAACTAAACATCTCCAGCTGGAAAGGAGTCATGCAAAGCTCGGTTTGCTCAACCGAGAACAGAGCGGGCCGAAGTTTGAAGTTATATTCCCTGGCTTTTTACAGGTTATTAAAATATTTGGCTAAATGGTTGAATACACTTAGCTGAAAGTTGCAATATTATCAGATACAACATTGGGAATTGAACTAATTATTCTTCATCTGCTCCTCCATTGAACAGTGCAGCCCTCTCAGATCCCCTTGGCAATGGGCTGCGGACTTTGCAAAATCATGGGCTAGTGGGAAACAATTTCTGGGAGCATTGGTTTTGCTGAATGGTTCTTAGCCTAAAGTATTTTATATTTTTTTAAAAACCACCTTATGAATAGAATGCAACATTTGTACCAATTTTTAGGATAAAACAGGAAGTTTTAAAAAATATTTTGCTTGTAGTGCCAGCATCCTCTCTTCACGTGCCTGAGGATATGTGTTCACTTACCTTTTCCTTGAGATTGTTTGGAAAAAATGTAAGATGTTCTAAACTATGAGGCAGAGGGTAGAGCTCAGTGGTAGAGCGCATGCTTAGCATGCAGGAGGTCCTGGGTTCAATCCCCAGTACTTCCTCTAAAAATAAAGAATTAAATAAACCTAATTATCTCCTTCCCCCTCTCCCACAAAAAAACTAAATAAAGCACTCTCCAAACAAACATTATTAAAAAAAAAAAAAGATGCTCTAACCTAGTATGTTGATCTCAGTCAGCCTCACTAGCTGACCTTGAAGACAGTCAGCCGACCTTGACGCTGGCTGTGTTATGGTCTTCATCTTTCTTTCTTTCTCTTTCTGTTTCCTAACAACAGAAGGAGCTATCGAAAGCTTATACTACCTTTGAGGACTGAGAGAAGAGTGCCAGACTATTATGAGCTCTCCTTTCCGTCTATAAACACCTCAGTATTGCGCGTGGGGCTCACGGTTTCAGGCCATGCTGATTTTCTCATATTAGGTGTCCCTTTCCCGTGAGTGCCATTTCCCACACAGCCACACCCATGTCTCATGTTCAGCATCCTTACCCCTGGCTCAGAGGC